AACATCCTTTGACAGCATTTCATGCTCTTTGTCTCCTCCTGGCAGGAGACAAATTTTCCCAGAGAAGCAACATCATTTATCCACAGACAATTTCAGAAATGCTCTCTCTAAATCGCCAGCAGAGGTGGAGGAGTTTTCGCTAAAACTGTTGACAGAGCAAAGCTGCTACGAGATCAAAATCCGGCTGCTTGAAATTCCTGGGCTGCAGTTTTTGGAGGTTAGAGCCAGACCATGATGGGCAGAGAGAGAGAGAGAAAGAGGGAGAGACTTCATTGGGAAGAAGGGTGTCTGTTTAGTCTGGCCGAGATGGAGAAAAACATGATGGAGGTCAGGGAGAAGGTGTGTTGCTCAGAAATTCAGCACTCTGTGGCTCAAGTCCCATAAATTCGCTGCCCCGCAGTGATAACTCAAAGTAGAAACATGGCCATGTCCCCTGCTATTACAGTCCTTTGCAGGCTCTTTGCCCTTGCCCTTTGCCCCTCAAAGCCCAGCCTCCTTGGCTTGGTACAGCAAGTCCTTCTCTGTTTGGCCCTGGCATCTTTCTTCTTGCCCCCCTTCCCTGACCTTTATTTATGGCCCAGCAATATTGAGTTACTTGCAGATATCCCAAGCAACATGCAGGTGCCTCTGTCTTGACTTACCTCTTTGAAAGAATCCCCGTTCATACCTAGTCCGGGAAGACTTCCTTGACCTTTCCTAGACTGGGCTGGATGCTTCCTCTCTGTCTCTTCCTCTAAACTGTTAGTTCTGTTAGTTCAGGGATTGTGATTTTGAAACCTTGGGTCCCCAGCACCCAGCGTGGGGCCTGCTGGCTCTCTAGCCCTTGCCTGGCAGCCCTCTGTGGCTAGCCTGGCCCCCAAGGGGGAGGAGAGGGGAAGGGGCTGAGCTATCCTTTTAAATTCCCAATCACAGCGCTCACTCCCCCTGGGAAGGAGGGAGGGGGTAGAGAGGAGCCAGAAGGAAGCAGTTCAGAATGTCAAATAGCTTACACACATCCCTGCCTCCCCTCCCCACCACCACTGGACCAACTACTGCATTGGCCCCATAGTATTTAAGCTACAGGGATGCTACTGAATTTTTATATGGCTTCTTTGTTTTGGCAAAAGGAATGGGATGCCACCTTTGTGGTTGGGTTACAAAAGGAGTCTGGCTCACTCTCTCCCTCTGTCTTGTTCACTTGTTCTGTGGGAAGGCAGCTGCTGTGTTGTAGGTTGCCCTACAGCAGAGAGGCTCATGTAGCAAGGACTCGTAACAGCAACGGTCCGCAGGAACCGGATTCCGTCAATACCACGTGAGTGTGCTTCGAAGTGGACCATTTCCTGGTCAAACCTTCAAGGGAGACCACAGCCCTGGCTGACATCTAAATCACAGCCTTATACAAGACCTTGAGCCAAATGACCCCCTGCTGCCCAGAGTCCTGACCTACAGAAACCGTTAAATAATACATTTTTGTTGTCCTAGGCTACTGCAAGATTTGGGCATAATTTGTTACACGGCAATAGGTACATAATGCAATCATTATGCCCTATTTTTTCCTGCTCAGTCATTGAGGTTTTAATCCCCCTCCCCTTAACTGTCCCTTACGCTAGTCCTCAAAAATATGGGTAACACATTGGATGTTCTTTCCATGTTGTTTCTGTGTCCATAATCATACACAAAATACTAAGTGTGAGAGATAGGCCATTCCATTATTTATTCATGAATAGTAATTTCTAGACTCACTTCTGACCTAGGCACCCAAAGTACCCCTTGCACCTGTCAGTTATAGCTGTGCTTTCCTCCCCGCTAAAAGGAAATCCTCAAGAATCTTCTATTTTACATGAACAATTAGCAGCGGTTGTCAAGAGCCGCAGAAATAGACATGCTTCCATTTTTTTCCACGGGAATCTGGGACTCTGTTTTAGAGTCCTAAAAAACACAGACAGCTCTGAATAACAGTGCATGTGCTGCTCTGAAATCACAGGGCCTCAGAACAGGGGACACAAAATGAGAATCCTTTTATTTTAAACAAACATCCCAGCCTCTCTCTAGCCAAGTGAGTCCTGTTCTTCCAAGCGGACATTGTTTGAGTAATTCTGGAATCTCTGAGGATTGTCTTCCCCAGTCTGTCTCCACGGAAGTATTAAGGACACTGAACTTGGTGCTTCTGGCAGTCCTCATTCTTCACCCCTCCCCAGCTCTGTTCCCTAATGGGAGGACTCTTCTCATGGTCTGGCTGCCATCCCTCCGCCGCGCTGCCCTCCCATTCTCAGACAAGCTCCACTCTGGCTGCTTTCCTCCCAGAGCGCTGTCTTCCCCTCAGTAACTGTCATGACGTCCTATAATCTTTAGATCTCATCACCCAGGGGGTAAACTGAGAACTGGGCAGGAATTTTATCTGTCTTATTCACCGCCGTGTCCCCAGGGTCTGGCACCAGCCCTAGAACACAGTAGGCATCAGATCAATAATTGTTAAAGGAACAGGTAGATGGGCTTGTTGGTAAAAATCAAATCTTTTCTCAAAGGACCAACATTTGTCACCCTTAATAAAAGTCATGGCTGATTTCATCAAAAAGAGCTTACTGAGGGTCGACCTCTGGGCTCGGGATTTCATTCAATCCGCACAACAATTCTATGGGGTGGACACTATCATCCTTGTCTTAGAGATGAGGAAATTGAGTCTCAGAGTAATCAAACAGCTTGCCCAAAGCCGCCTAGTTTGGAGGCTGGCTGGCTCCAAACTTGAAACCCATTGGGCTCTCTCATTTTTTTAAAGTTCTTAAAAACATTTTGGAAATTTAAAAAATTCAGATATGGGGGCACCTGGGTAGCTCAGTCGTTAAGTGTCTGTCACGCTGGGCTCGAGCCCCGCCATCAGGCTCTCTGCTTGGCGGGAAGCCTGCTTCTCCCTCTCCCACTCCCCCGATTGTGTTCCCTCTCTTGCTATGTCTCTCTCTGTCAAATAAATACATAAAATATTTTTTAAAAATTCAGATATGTACAAAGAAAACAAATCATGAACTGAGATTCCCATTGACCAGAATTTTAACTGATGTTAACATCTTAGTGCATTTTCTTTCAACTTTCTTTTTTTTTTCTTTCTCCATCCTGCTTCATTGAGAACATTCAGAAGACTGAGCTGAAGACCCCATCCACCATTTCTAAAGAAAGGCAGAGTCGACTTCTAAGCCATGCAACCATGCTGGGACCACGTTCCTGCCTCCCAAGATGGCGGCAGGGAGGTCTGGGTGTGTTGTGGAAAAGCCAGACAGCAATACTTCCACGAGCTCTGGATCTGAGTAGAAAGACTCACAGGAAAGGGGTGACTTGCCTGTCCACTACTGGCGCCCCCAGCAACTTGCTTGCCTAGGAAAGAAGAAATCTGTGCTCTATTCTCACTCAGCCAGTGGGGCTGGTCCCAAGGCCAACTTCCAGGGAGTACACCCAGAGCCATCAGCCCCCTTTAGAGGGCAAGCCTGGCTCCCTTCCTTACTGAGGCCTCACCTTCCTAACTGTGTGTGCATGAGAGAGAGGGGCAAAAGACAGACAGACGGACAACGTTTGATAACCAATGCATCAATGCAATAGTACCCTCCCTAACCTCCTCACACCCCAGAATGCAGCATGGCACCTCGACTGTACCCACCTTGCATCTGGTACTCGCTTGGATCACTGTGTATATTTCCGCGCACTTGACCTGTTTACACCTCTCTTCTGTCAGACTGTGAGTTAGTTCCTCAAGGGCACAGACTATTTCTTACGCATCTTTCACTTTGCAGTTTTTGCCATGTAAAAGATACAAAGGCAGCCAAACTTCAGCTGCAGGAGAATGGAAAAAAAACCAGAAACAACAAAACACTTGGAATCAGACAGACCTGACTCCAGTTCCAGCTCTGCTGCCTTTTAGCTGTGTGACTTTCGGCAAATGACGTTACCTCTCTGAGCTTCTATTTGCTCCTTGGTAAAATGAGGACAATGCACTTTGAGCTTGATGAATGAGGGTTCACATAAGCCTTCATATGTGTTACACGCCTTAGCACAGCTCCTGGCAAAGATCACGCACTATTTCTAGACCACACTCAGAGTTCCGAGACCTGGGTTCAGGTCTGAGCTTTCGCACAGTCCTAGAGTGAGTCACTCAACCTCTCTGAAGCCCAGTGCCCTCATCTCTAAGAAGATAACCACTTCAGTGAGCTGCTGGGCACTTTAAATAAAAAGAATCCATGCGGGCACCTTGGGTGGCTCAGAAGTTAAGCGTCTGTCTTTGGCTCAGGTCATGATCCCAGGGTCAGGATTGAGCCCCATATCAGGCTCCATGCTCAGTGGGAGGCCTGCTTTTCCCTCTCCCACTCCCCCCTCCCCACCCCGCTTGTGTTCCCTTTCTTGCTGTGTAGCTGTCAAATGGATAAATAAAGTCTTAAAAAAAAAAGAGGAAAGAAAAGAAAAAAGAATCCATAGGGAAGTACCACACAGTCGGTCTTCAGAGATACATTTTTTTTTAAAGATTTTATTTTTATTATTTATTTGACAGACATATCACAAGTAGGCAGACAGGCAGGCAGAGAGAAGAAGGGAAGCAGGCTTCCTGCTGAGCAGAGAGCCCGATGTGGGGCTTGATCCCAGGACCCTGGGATCATGACCTGAGCCCAAGGCAGAGGCTTAACCCACTGAGCCACCCAGGTACCCCCAGAGATACATTTTTACTCTGTCTAGACGAACTCCTGCCTTTCCCCTTATACTTTGGAATCACTCAGATACAGCCGTGGAGAGGGGGACAGCATCCAGAGGTGCTCAGGTCTACCCTGAGTCCAAAATAGACTCTAGAAATGGTCACTGGCAGTTTGGCCCAGCCCAGTGGGGCCTCCCATCCGGAGGAGCAAGTTGCCTGAAAACCCAGCTCTCCACACCGAAGGGTACACGGTCCCACTTTCCCCTAGCAGAAAGTGTCCAGGTCTTTCTAGAAAGACAAATCACTCTGTCACCCTTAGAGTTGTGAACAATGACAGAGACGGAGCAAAACATGCACTCTGTGAAGTCTATAATTAGAAAAGTCGCTCAGAACAGTATAGAACCTTGGGAAGGCTGACGGGGAAGCAGTCCAGACTTGGCTGGAATTTTAAAGATGGCCCTTGGGAAGGAAAGGAAGGGATGGGTGCTCCTGTCCCAGGAAGGATAAGGTGGGTTGCCAGGAGGGATGTTGGCCCAGGATGGAATGAAACCCTTTATTGCTTCAGTGAAGATCTCCGCGCTCGAGTGTCATTTGGAAAAGACATCTCTGCCCAGCCCTGTCCACGTGGCAGATGTCTCCAGGACTGTAAGAACATCTTCGTGAAGTTCTCTGGGCAGCTGTCCCCTTAAATACATGTGGAAACCCAGGCTCTTCCAGGCAGTGGGCATTTTCCCGAACTCACTGGATCTTTTGCCAGCCTAGGGACCCGAAGGGGGCAGGCAGCAGCTCCAGGACTGTCCTGACAACATAGGTGCCATCTGGCTTGGTCATGTAGACAGCCCAGTTGGTGCCAAACTGGAAAAAGAAGCAAAGCCATCATGAGGGAGGTAGCGTGCCCGAGGGGTTAGGACTGACCTTGATTTGAGTCTGACTCTAGCTGCAGAATGGTCTTTTCTGTGCCTCAGTTTTCTCATCTGTAAAGTGGGGATGACAGTCATCATACCTGGCCCAGAGAGCTTGAGGACAGAGCCAATGCAAGAATGCCCACTGAGCAATTAAAACAGTGCTCAGCACTTTGTTAAGGAGCAGTAAGCGCTCTGTTCTGTGATGAGACTTGCCCGGGGCTTTATAGGAACAGTAACCCCCAGGGCCAGACCTCCTCCTGCCAGGAAATTCGACAACTAAAACCCTGCTTCCCTCCAGCATGTCCTCCACTCCTCCCAAGCACGAGCAGGTAGGTGCACGCCCGGCTCACTACACACCAGATACTGCCCATGCATGATTTTACTCTCTGCTCTTGTGGTTCGTGCTATCATACCCCCACTTTACACTTAAGAGGGTAAAGCCAGCAAAGAAGAAATTTTAGCTCAGATCTGTCTCCCCATCTTTCTCTTCTACTCTCAGGAGCTAAAACTTGCTTGATGTTTGATCTTGGGCAAATGATCCGATCCTCTGGGGCTCAGCATCTTGATGTGTGAAATGACTTTAAGAACAGGAGAAAGTGGGGCGCCTGGGTGGCTCAGTTGGATGGGCAGCTGCCTTTGGCTTGGGTCATGATCCCAGGGTCCTGGGATGGAGTCCCGCGTCGGGTTCCCTGCTCAGCAGAGCCTGCTTCTCTCTCTCCCTCTGCCTGCCTCTCTGCCTACTTGTGCTCTCTCTCTCTCTAGCTCTCTGTCTAATAAATAAATAAAAATCTTAAAAAAAAAAAAAAAGAACAGAAGAAAGTACCGGGCAGGAAGACAGCTGTGCATGATGCAGGGCCCCAGAGCTGGAGTCAGCAAACTGGGGCTCGGCCCGGCCGTGCGTTGTGAGACTTATGACGGACAGAAGGCACTGGACATAGTGCCTGGACACAGCAGGTGCTCAGTTAATGGAAGCCATTCTTACTGACTGGTGTTGAGTAGCCTAATGGCTTTCCATGCTTCTGTCTGAATCACATTATTACGGGGCATGATCAGTGTCTGGATTTTTTTTTTTAAAGATTTTATTTATTTATTTGACAGACGAAGATCACAAGTAGGCAGAGAGGCAGGCAGGTGGGAGGGGAAGCAGGCTCCCCGCTGAGCAGAGAGCCCGATGCGGGGCTCCATCCCAGGACCCTGGGATCATGACTTGAGCCGAAGGCAGAGGCTTTAACCCACTGAGCCACCCAGGCGCCCTGGATTTTTTTTTTTTTTTTAATTAATGCTTTAAGGAAGGAGATTTTTCTGCTTGGCAGGCTCTGCCTGAGGGTATGGATGAAACCTGAGTGGTGGCGAGTCCGAGCGCCCCATCCTCGGCCCCCAAGCTTCATCATTTGTTATTTGCATTATTGATTTCAGTTCTGCCTCTCCCTCCTTTAGCTTTTTTAAATTCACCTTCTCTCATTTGCCAACATCTAATCTGTTTGGGGAAAACAGCAATGAGCAGTTGGCCTAAGCTGGGGCCTGGGGAGCCAGGGAGCTGGCACCCTGATGTGGTTTCCTCACATGGCCTTGGACACAAGGTGCTGGGCAGCCATTTCTGCCCCTGGAACGTGAGAGGAGTCCATATTGTGGATTCAATGCCTTTATGGCGGCATTTGCATCTGAACTGAGGAACCGTGTGCTGCTAACTCCGCCTGGTTTGCAGGCCTGGTAAGAAGCAGAAAAACAACGGAGCTGTCTGCACGAAAGGCAATGCTTTGAAACCCCGGGGCACAAAAGCAAATGAAAGCAAACAGCCCCTTCTCTCCCAGGGTGTAAACAGCTCCAAAAGCAGACATCTCCAGGGCACCAGGCGCTCCTGTTCTCCTAGTCTGCAAAGCACCGTTATATCTCCCCCAGGGCCCAAGGGAATCGGTCTTGTTTATAGACCCACAAAGGCAGGGAGACGGCCATGAGGAGCAGTGAGCCTGAACTGACCATGAACGCCAGCTCGCCACCATCTGACTGCATGTCCTTCGGCAGGCCGTTTTACTTCTCTGGAAGTGGGAGTAACGCCCCCCCCACCACTTCCCTGATAGGCTGGGGTCAAGATGAAATGAGATGCTGTGTTTAGAAGGGCTAATGATGTCACCGGGAAGTTCAAGGGCCTGTGGGATTCTCCAGGCCAGTGGCTTTAACCTTTTGGGGACTCTGGGGGACACAGACCTCTTGGGGAGCTTGGGAAAGCTACTGACACTCCCCAAATGTACATATAAGCACAAAAAAACTTACCACTGAGCCAGATTAAGAACTCATCGAATCTGCTTTTCACCATTTCCTTTTTTTTTCTTTTAAGATTTTATTTATTTATTTGACAGAGAGAAAGATCACAAGTAGACAGAGAGGCAGGCAGAGAGAGAGAGAGGGGGAAGCAGGCTCCCTGCTGAGCAGAGAGCCTGATGCGGGGCTCGATCCCAGGACCCTGAGATCATGACCTGAGCCGAAAGCAGAGGCTTAACCCACTGAGCCACCCAGGCACCCCATGCTTTTCACCATTTCTAAGGGCACAATTCAGTTCCCTTTCTTTTTGGAATCCAGTGTACCCTCTGTCCCATGGCCTATAAGGCCCTCAGTCCCATCATTTCTCCTCCTTATTCACTGTTATAGCCTCTTTGGCCCTCTCACGACTTAATCAAACTCACCAAGTGTATGGGCACTAAACATGCTGCTTCCTTTGCCTGGAAATCTTCTCTAGACCTTTGTCTGCCTCATTTTTAATTATTTATATCTCTGCACTGATGTCCTCCTCCAAGACAGGCCCTTCCTGGCTATCTAAAGCAGCGGTGGGCAAACTATTTTTCTGTAACAGGCCAGACAGGAACTATTTTAGACTCTGCAGGCCACAGGGCTTCCTTGTAACTGTCCAGCTGTGCTGTTGTAGGGCCAAAGCGGCTACAGACAAAACGTACAGGAATGGACGGGGCTGTGTGCTAATAAAACTTTATTTACAATAGTAAAGGGACGGGGCTGGATTTGCCCTGGACCAGTGTTTGTTGACCTCGGATTCCTTTCTCTGCACTCTTTTCTCCATAGCCCTCATCATTCTCAGAAACTGTTTATTTTGCTCCTTGTTTGTTGTCTGTCTCTTGCACTAGACTGTGAACTATGAGGACAAGGCCTGGCTTGTCTGCTCGCTGCTGTCTCCCCAGCCCTAGCTCAGTGCTCAGCACACAGCAGACACTCCAGTGGCTGTTGTGTGAAGGAATAATTTCCAGCGATTCATGCAAGCTTGGGCAAGCTTGTCGGCCAACAGGGCACACAGGATGGTAGCTATGTGTCCTGGCTGGCAGCCTGGGAGGCCAGGGACGCCAGGGACACACCTGGTGTACCTTTTCCAGAAAGGCAAGGTGCTTACCTCTCTCATGACTTGCCTGCAGGCTCCGCAGGGTGAGATAAAGTCATCTTGCAGGTCACTGTGGGGACAGAGAATCAAACCCGGATCAGTCTCTCCTGAGGCATGAGGACAGCTGTGGAGATCAGGCCCTGAGGCTCTGCCCAGCTCTGGATGAGGTCACACCCCACCCCACCAGGCAGTTTCCAACCAGAGGCTTGTGGTTTTCATCAGTGCCTTTGGGAAACGTTTAGTGAGCACTTACTGTCACCCACACTCCGGGGACACAAAACACTCACTGTCACCCACACTCCAGGGACACAAAGGTTAAGAGGAATATGTCTGGCCTTCAGGAGTCTGCTCAGCCCAGTGAACAAGCAGACACCTGGATGAATTATCATTTTAAACAAAACGCGGTAAGAACGTACTCTAAGAGGAGACGATCCCTGACAGGGGAACAATAGAGAATATTTTGTGGAGGAGATGGCATTTGGTCCTGTCCTTGGAGGAAATGGAGCATTCCTAAGTCGCCATTAGCAAGCAGCTACTGTGTGCCAAGATCTGTACCAGGCATTGGCTGTCCATTATTTCTTTGAATTCTCAGTGCAACCTGAGTGTCAGAATGACCATTTTATCTGCAAGAAAACAGGTTCAGTGAAATGAAATAACTAACAGAGATGCTAGGCCGAAGCCCCATGTTTTTCTGTGCTGCAGGCAACAGAAATAGTATGTGCGAAGGCCCTGTGGCATGAAAAAAAATAAGACATGTGAGTCAAAGGGTAAAACAGGCTCTTGGCATCTGAGAAGTCTAGGGAAGAGATGCTTACAGCCAAGGGTTGGCCTCTCAGAAAGGAGCCACCTACAGGCAGTCCTCTAGCTTTGAGCAGGATGAGGAGTGGCACTTAAGGAAGGTGAGTTTAACAGTAGGGACCGCCAAGCCTGCTGGAGCACCAGCGGTTATGTCCGCTACCACCATCGTCCTTGCTCTTCTAGACCCACAGCTCTGAGAGAGCTCTGCAAGGACACAGGACTTCAGTTTTGGTTTTTGGTCGGCTCCTCTTTTCGCTAACCATGTGTGACTTTAACCAAGTCATTTTAACCCTTTCAATGTGCATTTCTTTGCCTGTAACATGTAGGGAATCATGGCACCTACTTTGCAGGAATGCTGGAAGACAAAATGAGATAAAGTGTGCCAAGGGCAGGGTGCCTGGGTGGCTCAGTGGGTTAAGCCTCTGCCTTCGGCTCAGGTCATGATCTCAGGGTCCTGGGATCGAGCCCCACATCAGGCTGTCTGCTCAGCAGGGAGCCTGCTTCCCCCTCTCTCTCTGCGGGCCTCTCTGCCTCCTTGTGATCTTTCTCTCTGTCAAATAAATAAATAAAAAATCTTAAAAAAAAAAAAAGTGTGCCAAGGGCTTTGTAAACCTTAGAGTGGTCTACACGTATCACTACTGCCTATACTACTGGGCACTCATTCCTTTACACATATTAGCTCTGTCTTCATTTTAGTACCTCCTCATACAGATTTATTATATATAACTTACATATAATTTAAAATTAACTTATCATATATATGTTGGCAATGATTACCATATTATTTAATATGTGCCTGGAGGGTTCCAGGCATCCTGCAAAGCACTTAAATGAATTATCTCATTTTAACTGACAAATGTTTATTGGTGCATTGTGCCAGGCCCTGTTGGCACTGGGGATATAGCAATGAGCAAAACAGACAAAACTCATTGCACTCGGGAGTCAGGACTAGTGAGAGAAGCCAGATAATTGACTAACGAACCAACCAACAATGCATGAGGTGGAGATAGACACAGATGGTAGGGATGGCATAAAGCAGCTGAGGGAAGAGACAGTGATAATGTGTTATTTCATTGAATCCTCGTAACTCCCTTTCATATGTGGGATTCCAAAGAAAGGTTCTGCTGCATGGAAAGGTGAGTCCTTTCTGAGCAGGCTTCCAGCTTCAGAACAAAAGGCCACGGGGATGTGAGAGGGTAGGGACCTGTGACCCAGGATGCACACTGAGCCAAATGAACCCTTATGATTACCAGGTGATGGGTGTTGCAGCCAGAGCCTTCCAGAAGCTCTTTGGAGGCTGGATTCTGTGTTATTTTTTACTTTTTCCCATACATGTTGACCATACCAGGCAGGCACGGGAAAGGAGCAACAAAGACCAATTGGAGAATCTCTATCTTCAGGGATCTTACTGTCTGGAAGAGGAGATAAAGTCTGAATGTTAATACTTCCAAACAGGCAGGCTGTGGTTAAGACCATGGGAGAGGACGGGGGCCCCTGGGTGCCTCGGTTGGTTGAACCTCTGACTTTTGATTTCGGCACAGGTCATGATCTCGGAGTTGTGAGATTGAGCCCCACGTCAGGTTCCACACTCAGCGGGTAGTCGGCTTCGGATTCTCTCCCTCTCCATCTCCCCTTCTCTCTGTGTCATCTCCCCTAAAATAAATAAATCTTAAAAAAAAAAAAAAAAAAGGACCATGGTAGAGGAGTTCTGATTGAAATTCAGCCTCCCTTCCATGCCTTGTAAGGCCTTGTATAATCTGGCCTCTGCCAAGTTCACCCCTCCCTTTCTCAGTCTTGTGATAGGCATGGCCAGCTATCCAAAGGACAGTTCCCTGGACAAGGTGACCGGCATTAGGGTCTTCAAGGGGGTGGGTGAACATGCATTCAACCAGGAAGTTGGACTTGGCTTTGGCTTCAAAGGTCAGAAGAAATCACTTCTAGGCAACATAGCTCTTAGGCTGAGAGAGAGCCTGGTAACAGTACTGGCTTCCCCTTATGTTGCACTTCTCTGTGCTGGGCTCCTGTGCTAAGGACTTCAGGGACACGAACTCATTTAATCCCTTAACAACCCCATAAGGTAGGGGCTATGTTGGTAGTCTTATCATCCTCATGTTATAGGTCGTGGAAGATGACATGACCTGCCCAAGGTCACAGAGCTAGCAGGATCAAAATCTGAATCCAGGATTTGCGGGCTCTGCCTTTGGGAGTTTTGCAGCTTGCAAAAGTCATAAGGATAAAGTGAAAACAGTAGCTGTGATTTGTTGCATACTCTGCCAGGACCTGTACAGAAATCACTTCCTGTCGCGTGGTGACAGCCCAGGGTGTGTGTGTCAATCTTCTCCATGCTAGGGACGAAAAGCAGTGAAACAGGGTTACCCAGGTCTCACTAACCTCGGAACCAGGGTTTTTAACCATTACTCAATCTTCCTGTCAAGAGTAAGAATCGAAAGCTTGGGAGAAGACACGCCCCGAAATATGGTTGGTGCAGCGGGACATCGACCTCTCCCACTTTGTGCTGGGATCAACAGTTTCTGTATTTGTGCTGATTCTGCTCACACGCTAGGACCATCCTTATCAGATGCGACGGGCTGGAAACCGATCGCCTTTGATGCCTACACTGGGGCCCATCCTGGGACAAGCTTAGCTTCCTGTTAGCAAAATCCCATCCTGGGCTCCACACTCTGGAGCTCCACACGTCCTGGAGCTCTCGAAGGGGCTCTCTGAAACTGTTCACACCCATCAGTGTTAACAAGAGAGCTGGCACTTTCCACTCATTCTGCAAACCCACGCACCCAATTTACCAAGTCATTAATGTAATAATGGCTGCATTTCTGGCTCAGGGACGCTGGGACAGGCTGGATCCCTGGAGCAGAGCAGTTGGGTGCTAGAAAAATGCAGGTTTAATGTAAATAAGGACATTTGCTAATCATCACTAGTGATACCCAGTCCTTTTTCTTATCTTCTTTTGTTGACTTTGGCCTCTTTTTCACCCAGAATACCATTATTTTCTTGGATCAGCTTTGTATGAGTTATTTCCCCACACCCTGCTTTTAAATTAAGTGTAATCCACATCCTGAGCTCTGCTCATCTGCACAAAATGTTCCCAGCACAGCCTCATTTATTCCTCCCTAAGCTGAAGGGGAGCCAGGACAGACCTTGGTGACAAGGGAAGGCTCTGGGAAGCTGGGCCCTTCTCCGTCAGCCCCCCTTGGCTCCAGTCGCTCAGGAAAATAGACTTCAATAGCCTGGTCCACTTCGGGGCCAGACTGAGGCAAAATTTAGGATCCTATAAAGAAACAGGGGCTTGGGGGCACCTGGGTGGCTCAGTGGGTTAAAGCCTCTGCCTTCGGCTCAGGTCATGATCCTAGGGTCATAGGATCAAGCCCTGCATCGGGCCCTCTGCTCAGCAGGGAGCCTGCTTCCTCCCCTCTCTCCCTCTCTGCTCGCCTCTCTACCTACTTGTGATCTCTGTCTGTCGAATAAATAGGTAAAATCTTAAAAAAAAAAAAAGAAAGAAAGAAACGGGGGTTGTTTCTACCATGTGGCCCCTGCAGGGCATTGTGCTAAGTCCCTGCGTTTCTGCCCACAAGGCCCTGCAGGGCCACCACGAGGGAGGGGTAGTGCACTCCTCGTCTGTGACCCAGGCACCTGGAGGTCCTGAAAGACCAACGTCCGGTCAGCCTCGCAGTCGCTCTCTGGGTAGATTAAACATTTCCTGTGGCATCTCCCCCACACCATTACTCTGCTGAGAAAACTCTCTTGGGGGCATCTGGGTGGCTCCATGGGTTAAGCCTCCTGGACTCTTGATTTGGGCTCAGGTCATGATCTCAGGGTCATGACATTGAGCCCTGTGTGGGGTTTCACGCTCGGCAGGGAGTCTGCTGGAGATTCTCCCTCCCCCAACTCGCACTCCTCCCAAATAAATAAATAAATAAATAAAATCTTGGAAAAAAAAAAAAAGAGTAATAAAAGAGAACTTGTCCTCAGACAATGCAAAGGTGCACACAAGAGCAATTCACCATCAAACCGGAAGGGGAACAGGGTCTGAGGGAGTGAAAGAACCCATTTGTGCTCAAATCCTGACGCCACCTTGCCTAGGTCTGGGGCCAACAGAGCTATCCTATGACCTATGACAAGAACTCAGTGAATGTTCTGTGAGGGTCCACATGTAGGAACCTTGATATTTATTTATTTATTATTAAATTAACATATAATGTGTTCTTTGTTTCAAGGGTGAGTCTGTGATTCATCAGTCTTACACAATTTGCAGCACTCACCGTAGCACATACCCTCCGCCATGTTCATCACCCAGCACCCCCATCCCTCCCATCCCTCTCCACTCCAGCAACCCTCAGTTTGTTTCCTGAGACCAAGAGTCTCTTAAGGTTTGTTTCCCTCTCCGGTTTCACTTTCACCTTGTTTCATTTCTCCCTCCCTTCCTCGCTGATCCTCTGTCTTGTTTCTCAAATTCCTCAAATCGGTGAGATCATAGGATAAATGTCTTTCTCTGATTGATTTATTTCGCTTAGCATAATACCCTCTAGTTCTAGCCATGTCATTGGAAATGGCAAGATTTCATTTGGGGTTTTTTGATGGCTGCATAGTATTCCACTGTGTATATGTATGTGTGTGTGTGTATATGTGTGTGGATATATATATATATGTATATATATATATATACCAGATCTTTTTTTTTTAAAGATTTTATTTATTTATTTGACAGAGATCACAAGTAGGCAGAGAAGCAGGCAGAGAGAGATAGGAGGAAGCAGGCTCTCTGCTGAGCAGAGAGCCCGATGCGGGGCTCGATCCCAGGACCCTGGGATCATGACCTGAGCCGAAGGCAGAGGCCTTAACCCACTGAGCCACCCAGGCACCCCAACACTGGATCTTCTTTATCCATTCATCTGTTGATGGACATCTATGTTCTTTCCATAGTTTGGCTATTGTGGACATTGCTGCTATAAACATTGGGGTGCATGTGCCCCTTCGGATCACTACATTTGTATCTTTAGGGTAAATACCCAGTAGTGCAACTGCTGGGTCATAGGGTAGCTCTATTTTCAACTTTTTGAGGAACCTCCATGCTGTTTTCCGGAGTGGCTGCAGGAACCTGGTTATTTACGTTGGAGCATGTACAGAGAGTTGATTAATGCTTTTGTTCAGTCGGGACCCGAATGGAATCTGATTAGTGTGAACTGCAACCCGGGTTGACCTGGCTGTCACCCCACCAGCTTGTCTTGGTAGCCTGCTTCCTGGCACTCAGAGGTGGGGAATGCCAAGTGTAGCAGTCACCTCTCCCAGTGAGGGATCCCTGAGGCAGCTCAATGAGAGTGGGGAAGGGTGTTTGACGTCTCGGCATAGCATGGTGGCGTGGAATGAGCCCAGAGTGAGGCTGCAGAGATCTGGGATCCTCCCAGCTTTGCCACGAATTCCCAGGGAAGTCACCCAACCTCGCTGGGCCTGTTCGTCCATCTGTAAAATGGGGTCGTGGCCAGGGAGTCTATATCAGGTGATTCTTAGGTCCCTCCAGTTTTAGGTTTCTATGCTGCCTTTCTGTTGTGGCTTGTGGGCATCCTGTTGTAGTCTGCGCTGTTATTAGAACAAAAACCACACCTACCCTTAAGCTAAAGATACTTTGGTTGTTTATCTGCTCTGGGCTCACTGAGGGCAGAGTCCATTTCATTTTTTTTTTTTAAAGGTTTTATTTATTTATTTGTGGGAGGGAGAGAGAGAGAGACCACGCACAAGCAGGGGAAGTGGCAGGCAGAGGGAGAAGTAGGCTCCCCTCTGAGCAAGGAGCCCGATGCAGGACTTGATTCCAAGACCCTGAGATCATGACCTGAGCTGAAGGCAGTTGCCTATCTGACTGAACCATCCCAGGCATCCTGGGCAGAGTCCATTTCTGATTTTTCTTTTTATTCTCAGCACTCAGTCAAGCCCGACAGTACCTGGCACATAGGAAGTACAGAATAAATGTGTTAGATGAATGAACGGATGGATAACATGCGTGTGGTTAGCATTGGCCAAACGGATGGATGCATATGGCTGCAACCTTCCTTTCCCACCCCTTACCTGGAGATAGCGATGGCCCTGAACTCTCTGTGTCCTTCTGAGATTGCCTTCTGGATTGCCGTCCGCTCCGCACAGACGCCCAACGGGTAGCAGATGTTTTCTACGTTGCACCCTGAGAAGAGAGGAAAACCCAGTGGCATTTCCAGCAGAACCACTTCCTGTGGCAGGTGTTGCGGAAGAGGCTTGCCCCATTCCAACGCAGGGAGAACACTATTACTCAGAGAGGACAGCTTGACAGGAAGCACTGGGAGACTCGGTGAACCCCTGCTACTGCTATGGCCCTTCCCAGCATTCCGACCCTTGTCACTCACCCAATACCTCCATCTTGAAGCATAGCCTGGGAGCAGGGGCAGCACAGACCCACCTCCCCAGCAAAGGTCAAGGTCAAGGGAGATGCCACGGCTTAAGAGGCTGAGCAGAGCTCCCCCAGCCCTGGATCTAAGAGACAGAAGGTTCAACGATTGGGTCTGGGCAAAATTTTGGTGGTGTTTACCAGCTCTCAGAGTTCAAGTGAATGCTATTTGAGTTGTGTTACAAAACAAACTGTCAAATCCAACACACTAACAAACAAGGAACTCCCAAGCTTTGCAAAAGGTGTCTGTGATTGCACAAGCCTTCAGGCAATCCCAGCCCTCCAAGGGGCGGCCGGCTGCTTGGTGGCAGAGCCCACAGTCAGAGAGTCCTCCCCAGTGTCCCTCCCAGGAGCGTCCCTGGGGAACAATGGGCAAAGCCTGTTCCCAGGACACAAAACACTGGCATAGCCAGACTGACTGACTAACAAACTCCCCATTTTCACAGAGATAATCGCTGCAGAAAGTGGGCTTCCCCCTGACTGTCGGGATGTGGTCTGTGTCACTCTTCATGGCTTGCCTTTCTTTCTGAGGCAGAGATTATCAATTGCTCCCCAGGATTTATTTTCTCCTTCTTCCTTTTTTAAAAAAATATTTTATTTATTTATTAGCGAGAGAGAGCACGGACAGGTGTGAGTCACCCATGCACAAGTGGGGAGAGAGGGAGGAGGGGGAGAGGGAGAAACACTGAGTAGGGGGCCTGATGTGGGGCTCGATCTCAGAACCCTGAAATCACGACCTGACCATGCCAGACCCGAAGATCATGACCCAAAGCAGAGCCTTAACCACCACCCAGGTGCCCCTCTCCTTCTTGCTTTAAGTAAGAAGTAAGTACGTAAGCCAATATGGCTGCTCACACGGCCGCTCAGCTAGAGACCGTATTTGCTGGATACCTCGGCAGCACAGTACAACCGTGCGACTAAGTTTTGGTCAGCGGGTGTGGCCCAAAGCGAGATGGGAAACTTCAGGATCACATTTTTGGTAAAGAGATGGATAGCCTTTTGCTCCTTTCTTTTATGTTCTCCAGGCTGGGGGGAGTTGGGACAGCTCTGGCTGTGTCCTTTATGGTCATAGGGATGGAGAAGCAACAGGACAGAAGGCACTCGGGACCCTGGTCCAACTCATGCAGCAGAGTTGAATCACCTGTTTGCCCTGGCACAACTGTCTACTCTGAGTTGTTATGTGAGAATAAAAGAGAATCCTGTCATGTTGGAGTCATTGTGTTTGGGACTTTTTGTTACAGCAGCTTTAACCTACACCTAACTGATAGAGAAGTTGGTAATGAGAGTGAAATGCAGCCTTGAAAAAACAAACATCTAAAATACATAGTCTTGGGACGTCTGGGTGTCTCCGTCAGTTGTGTCTGCCTTCTGCACAGGTCATGATCCCAAGGTTCTAGGATCAAGTCCCGCATTGGGTGCCTGGCTTTTTAGGAGCCTGTTTCTCCCTCTACCTACTTCTCCCTTGACCTGCCACTCCCCTGGTTTGTGCTCTCTGACAAAAGAAATAAAACCTTAAGAAAAAAAAAAAAATGGCCTTGGCTTAGCAGTTGGGTGACGTGAATGGGAAAACAGACATGGCCCTGTGGAAAGCTGATGGCCCTTGTTACTCTGTGGCAGGTTATTTGGTAACGCCGCATCCTTTAATAACCTGAGAAGCAGACTGTGCTACATACCATTAGGATTTACTACCTGACAATTGGGAATCAGCCCCATGGCAAAGATCTGATGAAGAGTGACACCTTCTTACCCAGTCTATTGTTTTGGGGCCTCAAGGGGGCCATTATCAAAACAACGCAGCAGGGATGGGCCAAACAGGGAAGCCAGTTACTAAAAAAAGGGAGTTGGTAGGCTTAAGAACTATGCCCAGAAAGGATCTTTGAGTATGGTACTCTTGTATGGAAGAGACTGGAAGCAAATAAACCAGGAGGTTTCTAAGTGTTTCACAGAACTGGCTAGCCCAGAGAAGCCAAAAGTCTGCTCTGTAAAATCCTGTGATTGTTTAATCCCAAAAGAAACCCTTGGGTCCCCAAAACCCCACCGTCAGAAGTGAGCTGAGAGAGTTGTATGCACCCAAAATGGGGGGAATTCTCCCCCAAACGCACTTCAGATGTGTGGCTGAGGTTAGGATAGTCAAGGAAGCAGCTCCCAGAGGGCAAAGCCTGGGGCCACCGTAGAGAGTGGACAGTTACCCTCAGGGTAGAAAGGTAAGAGAGTGTGTACCAGGGCAGGGAGCCTTCACACTTCTTGCCCAGCAGAACTGATAACTGCATGGACTGGTGGCCACTGTGTGCTCCCTGTTCTTTCTTTTTCTGATCAGAAGATTTGATAGTGGTTATTCTTTCCTACTCTTTCCTGCTTCTTCTCTGCACTGAATATTGTGGGAGTGAGTGGGAACTGGTGTGTGGGTGATTACTTTTAGATTTTGGGCCACTAGGCCAACAGGACCACATCCACATCTCAGGAAGGAGACTGAACAGCCCTGGGATTCCACTCTTGGAGCTGGATGCCGTGACTGGGTGGGGACTTCGGGTCGCCTCTCTCTCTCTCTCTCTCTCTCTTTTTTTTTTTTTAAAGATTTTATTTACTTATTTGACAGAGAGAGAAATCACAAGTAGGCAAAGAGGCAGGCGGTGGGGGGGGGGAAGCAGTCTCCCTGCGAGCAGAGAGCCTGATGTGGGGCTCGATCCCAGGACCCTGAGATCATGACCTGAGCCAAAGGCAGAGGCTTAACCCACTGAGCCACCCAGGTGCCCCTGGGTCGCCTCTCTTAAGAAGGTGGTAAGTGGGTCCTACATGTGGAAAGAAGGATGTACACAGATACTGACAGGCCACAGGTAGTCCTGTGGCAAAGAGTAATTGTTCCCAGGGTTCACTGTCCCAACAGAAGCCACTGGAGTTGAGTGGGACATGTGACTACCCAGCCAAGAGACCACATTTCCCAGCCTCACTGGAAGGTTTCCTAGAGTCTTGTTGTTTTAATCAATTAAGATACAAGCAGAAGTGGTGGGCGCAACTTCCAGATGACATCTTTATGGGGCCATTGTTTGCTCCCCACCTCATCTTTCCCTTTCCTGGGGGCTGGAACATGGATGTGATGACGTGTACTGGTTTTGAACACATGGCTGTGGACACCACTCTAGGGATGGCAGGACATCAAGAGAGAAGGAATCTGAACTGAACAGCCTCGTAGACCACAGCAGAGCAGAACAGTCCATATGCCCAAGACTCCAGCCCATCCTTGGTCTGTTAGATGAGAGAAGCAAGCAGCCATCTTGTGCGAGTCACTATGTTTCCATTTGTCTCATCACCTGAGACTGTTCCTTACCTAAGTCACTACTTTTTTTTTTTAAACGTGATTATGCAGGATTTGGTTCCTACTATAGTCAAATTTGGAAATTGGTCATTATTTCCTCATGTATTTTCCCCACAGAATTTTCTGTCAGTGCATTATTTAAATGGACGCCTCAGGAGGGGTTCAGTTAATCATCTGATCCACTAATCATCATCATGGTTCTCAAGATCACAGGCATTCATGTCCAACAGATGGAGAGGAATGAATGTCACCACACCTCCTGCAACAACCCTCCCAACAAACAGTTCAAATGAGAGCTGCCATCTTGTCTCACATGACCTTTTTATTGGTCGAAGGATGAGTATCTGACCCATACTGGGCCAATCAGAGTTGAGCACCTAACTCCTTGGGCCAGTCAGAGCCAGGCACCTTACCCACACTAAGCCAATCACAGTTCTCTACACAGGAACTTCAGTTCCTCTAGGAGACTGAGAATTTGGGCTTGGGCCGAGCTGCTGCCCTGGTTTCCGTTCATTATGGAGGAGACCACTGGGGGAAATGGGCACTCAGAAGAACAGATGGGAGCTGAGATGAGAGATGGCCAGAAAAGAGTCTGGGCTGGTGCAGTTGCCCCGAGGCCCGGCTACACGCCATCTCTTCCCACAGTTTTAGGAGCCAACATGCCCTCCTTCTGTTTAATAGTGTGGATGGGCATCTGTCATTTATGGCTACCCAGAAGTCAGTCCATACAGTTGGGTTGCGGGACAAGGAGTGACCAGGGACTTCCAACCCTGAAAGCAATGGTTGACATTTACTGAACGCCAAGTGTTTTTGACTTCGGCCAAGCATTTCTTTGCATTCACATGTGAGTCACTACAGCCGGATAACTGGCCCTCTCTCGAGGGCAATAAAAGTTAAATGAATGAATGAATGCAGCTCGCTCCCCCACCTAGTCTCCCCAGCCAAGTTCCCGGTGCCTGCCTGAAATGACTTCCTCTAAACAAGCCCTTGCCCGCCCTGCCCACCTCCGCTGACTTTGGCCTACTTGCATATGACTTCTGCCTCTCCCAGAGTAAGATCCTTGCTCGCCTTATTCCCCCTACATCCTTCCCTGTCAGGCAACCGCCCCAGCCCTGCCTCCTCCCTCACTCAGGGGCACTCTCCCTGTTAAACGTGATTCACAGAAATCTTGGGTTTGGCAGAAGGTTCCTTCCTCAGGACGATTGCCTGTGTCTGCACTTGAAGTTCAGAATGGCCTCATATGGAGAAATCTTCCTTACTGTGCCTAAAAATTTAAAAGGGCCAGTGAAGGAAGAGAGACTGTTTTATTCATTCATTCATTCATTTTTTTGAGAGACTGTTTTAGAAGAGAACTCATGGCTGAATCAGGGCTTTGTAGAAAGAGCCCCGAGTTTCCGTTCTACCCTGGGACCCTTGGCCCTACTGGCTCTGAGAGTTTGGGAAAGACACTAAAACTTTCTCGAGGGTCAGTTTCGTCATTTATGAAGTGAAAGCCATAGCACCTCCCTCGGAGGACTTTGGTGAGAATGAGTGTAGATCACACACGTAGAGCAACGAGCACACAGCCTGGCACAGCACTGTGGGTCAGCAATGGTCAGCTGCTGTTACCAACTGCACAAAAGTCAATTTTGGAATTGGTGGAAATGAAATAAGATGAAACTAGAGAGGGAGACAAACCGTAAGAGACTCTTAACTCTAGAGAAAACACAGAGGATTGCTAGAGAGGTGGTGGTTGGGGGATGGAGTAATGGGGGAATGGGCATGAAGGAGGGCAGGTGGTGGAATGAGTCCTGGGTGTTCTATGCAACTGATGAATCACTAAACTCTACCTCTGAAATTCACACTACATGCTAATTAATTGAAATAAAATTTAACGATAATAAAGGCAAGGGTTTGGTGGTGGTAGGCCTGTGTGACTGAGCACCTGCTCCTTCTAGACAAGGGTGACAGTGGCTCTGATTCTTCCCTTCAGACACTTTGAAATCCTTTCCGGGGCCTACAAGGCCTCACAAAACCTGGTCCCAACCTGCCTACCTGTTGGACTTCATCTCCTTTGGCTCTTCAGGATCACTGGCTTTCCAGCTGTTCTCCAAGGATGCCAAGCACTCTCTTGCCATACGGCCTTTGCACTGGCTATTCCCACTGCCTGCAACTCCTTCCCCCCGTGTGCAGATGGTTCACTCTACTCCTGTCTCTGCCCAGATGTTCCCTCCTCAGAGAAGCCCACCATGGTCACCCTAGCTCAAGTTGTTGCCTCCCCCTACCCCTGCCGCCTCCAACCCTCTCCATCCATTTATCCTGCTTTAATTTTCATCGCTTTGCTTAACACTTTCCTGAAGAAATGTCTCTATTGTCACATTCTCTCATCACAGATTAACTTCCTGGGGACAGGGAACACCCACACCCCCATGCTGCAGAATGCCTGGGGGGCCTGGAACAATGAGGCCAGCCAGACCCTTAGTTACTTTTTATCCAATGCGTGGAATTTTTCCCACTTGGGTGCTAGATCTCTGAGATGCAAAGGAACAACTTCAAGTGGAATTTTCTAGTCTTATTAAAAAAGAGGGGAAAAAAAAAGAGGAAAGCCCTTAGCTTCTTCCCAGACAATTTTCTTTTTCTTCCCTCAGCTCAGAAAACAGGTCATCATCCATCCAGGCAAACCAGTACCATTCTCCGTGTTGCCTTCACTTTTGCTCTGAAACACACACACACACACACACACACACACACACACACACACACACACGCACGTGCGGGTGCAGGCTGACATGATAGCAAGTTAGGGAACCAGAATTATAAGATATTACTAATGGCTTTCTTTTATCTTTTCTTTCATTGTTTTTCTTTTACCTGCCTGGCACTCCATTTGTATTATGTTGTTAACCCTTTTAATAACTCTTTAGGGCAGAGACTATTATGAGCCCATTTTAGAGAAGATAAAAGCTGAGCCTGCTGGCAGGGAGCCTGGACTCACATCCTGACCTGTCAGGTACAAAGGACTGTCCTTTTTCTCTATGGCATTTCTGTGAGGACATACTGTAGAGCTGGTTTGGCGCTGACAGCAGGACGAGGGTTAGAGGTTATCAAGCTATCACCAAGGAAGGAAGTTTATCAGGAGGGGATGTGGGCCTGACCCCCACCCCACCCCCCGGCAGGGAAAAGAGCCTTGTTCGAAAGCACAGCTCTTACTCCGTCCCGAAGAATCTTGGTATGGTTAGAGCAGTCCTTCTCATACCAGCCCCCAGCGTCCGTATCTTTTCAACAGCTTCTTAAAAGGGATTTCTCAGCCCTGCTCCTGGAGTTTCTTCTTCAGTAGGCCTGGGTCAGACCCCAAGAATTCGCATTTCTTGCAAGTTCCCAGGAGGTACCCAGGCCACAGGTCTGGGACCATATTTGAGAATCACTGAACCAAAGAAATGTCATGGCCACGTGCTTGAAGAAATACCACTTTCCCATCTCCCTACCCACTGCACATGCAACACACTGTGACAGAGGAATCATATTCTAACTCAACTACAGAAGCTAGGGGTTTTAGTGACGCTCATCTTTGTAAGGAACTGTTCTTGAGGGACACTGGAGAGGGCTACTGGATGAGCCTGTGGGTGGGAGGACAGGAAGCCAGTTAGAGATGCCTGCTTTGACTCACCTGGATGTGCGCTGGGGAGGGTGGCATGGCTTGGAGAGCAGTCTTGGAGGAGACGGGAAGCCCAGGGAGGGAGCCAGGAGGCCAGGGGCTGGTCTGGGGGAGACCATGAAGGATCAGATTTAAAGGTTAAAGCCAAGACAAGCTGGATTCAGCGATTAACGAGGACATCTTTAAGTGTCTTTTTAGAAATGTGGTTTGTTCCTCCCAGAATTCATTACAGCTGATCCAGTAAAGTGGCTTTCGCCCAAACAGCAAAGGAGGATATAGAGTGCTGAAGTCCCTCTAGGGAGAGGGGCAGAGGGAGACAGACCACCATCCCAAAGACAAATTTGCCCATCCTTTGGATGGTGCCAGCGAAGAGTGGTCTCCATGACTTTCCTCCACCACCTCCCATCTGGCATTGCACAAACCCTGGCTGCCCCGGGCTACCCCACCGCCCCTGCCAACTCCCCCTGTTGCCCCATCTCTTCTGTGCCCCCACCTCCCTCTCCCTCTGCAGCTCCTCCTTCCCTGGTGGGCTCCTCCTCTCCCCTGCAACTCTCCAGCAATGATCACAGAAGGTAATTGTCATGATGAGTCACCATCCTGTGGCCCATCCTTGAGAGGCACAAGACCCTGGCCAGGGTCAAGGGGAAGCATCATTATTACAAGACCGTGACAGCAAGGCTGTCAGACTTGCTTTTGAACCAAATGGGGCACCAGCTGTCCCGAGGAGGGAATCTCCACAGAGGCTGGCCTTAGGTACAGCTGGAAGAAGTCACAGAACTAGGCAGACCTGTCTCGTACCAAACAATAAACTCCATGTCTAAATTCAGGCGCACCCTCTCTGTCTCCCGAGCATCTCTAGTTCACCCCATGACGCATGTCAGGTTTCCTCTGACTGTTCCAGGTCCCCACCTCTCTGAGCCCTGCCTTACTACCCTCTGCCCTCTCTTCCCATCTATAGGAGATTCAGGGATTCTGGTAAACACCCTCCCTTCGTCCCCCTCTCCCAGGCCCCCTCCGCACATGTACCCTTCGGCAGAGGGCAGCACAAAGAACTGACCTGAGTTACCTCATTTGTAGAGCATGTGTTTGGGTTTTGCTCTGGCACCTCCATACTCCTTCCTGTGGTAACACACCCCCCCCACCCCACCCTGGGAACAATGTGCGTGTGAGTCAGCTCGACCAATTGCGCTACTCTATCATGACAACAGTGATTGGCTCAGGGATGTGCACGTGATTGGAGAAGGACCAATCAAAGCCCTTCCCTGGAATTTTTCCATCTCCAACTAGTGGAGAAAGAGTTCTTGCCTCTCTGCTTTTGAGGCTCTAAGGATGTGAACCAGAGGCTGCCTGCACTCATGTTCCCTGATGCCTGGAGAAAGCCACCTAGAGGATAAGAGAAAGAAATAAGCACCCAGAAGGATAAAGGACATGGTGACATCTGAGTTCCTGGGCCCAGCCATCCCTGAGTTAAGATCTACCCTTACCCATTATGGTTCTGATTGGTTTCTGTCATTTACAACTGAAAATGCTCTAGTGCATGTGACAGTCATTGTGTCCCTTCATGTGGGGGCTCTAAGATACCATACAAGATCTCATAAGAGATCTTCAATGCCAAGTGCTTAGCAAGTGATCAGTCACTAAGTGGGCGATCAATCCACTGTAGCGGTTGGTCCCTGCCCATCATGTCCTCAGCACCAACCAACCCAGCTCTGCCTTCTGCTCCCTGCTTTGGCCAGTGCCTCATTATTCCCCTGGTCTACCTGGCTGAAGATCTAGAACCATATTCCTTTCGTTCATTCCAGTACTGCTCACCGAAAGCCCAGTCCTCTTGTACCATACAGTTTCTCTCAGGCCCTTCCTTCTTTATTGTTCCACTTACCACTGTCCTAGTTCGAGTCACTCGCTCATGCATTCAACAAACTTTTAACTGAGGACATATCAAGGCTGGTCAATGTGCCGGCCCTGTGGACGGGTCAGCAAACAAGACAGACATCATCCTCCTGACACTCTTTCCTGTCTTGGCCCTCCCTGAGTACTTGTCAGACTAACTGCTCTTGAATTCCGTTTTCATGTTACTCTTCTTAATAATGTTCCTGGTTCCCTTCGTTCCTACCTCACCAAATCTCCGTCTCAGTGCTTAGCCTTCACAAGTCCTCCACAATCTGCCTCCAGATAGTAGTAATATAATAATATATATTATTATATATTTATAGTAATAAGTTATATTATCAATAGTAATAATATAATAATATTAAAAGAGAAGAAGCTGGGGCGCCTGGGTGGCTCAGTGGGTTAAAGCCTTTGCCTTCGGCTCGGGTCATGGTCCCAGGGTCCTGGGATTGAGCCCCTGCATCCGGCTCTCTGCTCAGCGGGGAGACTGCTTCCCTTCCTCTCTCTCTGCCTGACTCTCTGCCTACTTGTGATCTCTGTCTGTCAAATAAATAAATAAAGAGATCTTAAAAAAAAAAGAAGAAGCTGCCACTACTTGTGGCATCCTTCCTGTGGGCAGACACTGTGCTAATCATTTTATAGGCATGAGCTCATGACCTGAGCATTGCATGGCTGATCAGCACAGGCACCAACCATCAGGGCAGAAACCAGCTCTCTTCACAGCCATCCAGAAAGGTGGGTGCACGATCCTCAGTTTACAAATGTGTAAGACACATTAGGGTGAAGGGTCATGTCCAGGGTCACACAGCTGGTAAAACAGCAGCTCCAGGATTCACACCCAGGAGCCTCTAAGTCCAGAGCCTTCGCCCCATCCCAGAAGGCTTCCCTAAATCTCCACTGTACGACCAGGTTCTTCCCTGCAATTTCAATAGGCTGCACTCGGGCTCGCCTCCTTCATTCACTCCCACAGTCATTGGTTGAGGCTTCCCCTTTCGAACCATGATCTGTGTAAGACCTCCGTGGGGGGGCAGAGATTACATCATTTGTGCTCACTGCAATATCTCTGGTACTTAGCACTTTACCTCGGACGTCACGGTGCTCAGCAAATATTTGTTGAATGAATGAATCCATGCAAGGAGGCTTTGGAAAGAGCCAATGGCGGATTCAGCATTCAAACCCCTGCAGCCCAAGGACAGTGTGGGCTGCAATGTTGTTTGTGGTGGTGGTTAATGTTTAATAGTCATTTGACCCACCAGGCCAGGTCTGAATTCCCACCAGACACACAGAGTCTTGATTCCCTACAGAGTAGCCAACTTGGAGTCAGGGGAACTCTGGGTTCGAATCCCAACTTTATGACTTGGGTATTTAGCACCTGTGAGCCTCCATTTACTTCTCTGTGATCTCAAACTGCCATGAGGGGTTATAAGGATTAATGGATAACATTCTTCACTATCCTTTCACATACTAGCACTCCCTCAAGGTTCCTTCTCCTGCTCAAAGAGGTTTAAGACCCAGGTGACTCCTGAAACTGGACAGAACCTCCAAGACAAGAGGTAACATGAACAGCAAGGAGAGCCCGGGGCGGGGGGGGGGGGGGGGGGCACCATACAAGGGAGACAGGGATCCCCAGCCAGACTCACAGTTGAGCAGTGGCTCACAACTGGCCTTAGGCTACTGGAGGTCATGGATTATGTCCACCTGTGAACCTCTGTCCCTTTAAACAGCTGCCATTGCCAAGTAGAGGCGGATTCTGGGCAGCAGTGCTGGGTGTCCCCATCTATCCCACTGTGCCAATTCTCATCTACCCTCTGAAGGGGAGGGGCATAGCTTCCCTACTACTTCCTCACGAAGTCCCCCTCTGTTTTGAATGCGAATGCCTCTTAGCTTAGCAAAAACAAGTCTGAACTTTTGTTCAAGTGAGCTCTTCTAGAAAACCAACAGACCAAAGAAAGGGAGCTTAGGAACCGATTAGTGCTGACTCCAGTTCCCATCGTCCAGTTCCCACCTTCCCCAGGCCAGTGATCATTGCTAGTCACCCAAACTTCTCTCTGCTTCTTTCCTCCAGGATCACTCTGCAAGGCCTGAACTCCGCTAACGAGTCACTGCGTGTTGGCGGTGGGTTCCTCAATTTCCTTCCTCGCCCAGTAGGTGATGGGAAGAAAGCAGGGTTTGGGGGACACCAGCCCTGAGTTCCACCACCAGCGCCCCGTGTGACCTTGAGCAAGCCGTGTCCCTCTCTCTGGGCCTCAGTTTCTCTATGGAAAAATGGGCCGAACACGCATATGGGTGGGTGAGAGGTGAGGACTTGGTGATGAAACCTGGAAGCCTTCGCAGAGGGCCACGCGTGGAGGGGGCGCTCACAAAGTATCAGCCGTTTCCCAGCTTTGAGTTATGGCCTCCCCTTTCCATGTCCCTCCCCGTCCCACCTCTGGCTTCCCAGTCCTCTAAGAATTGAAAAGGTCGCTGCATCTGAGCAGCACCTGAATTCAGCCCCACAGTCCCGGACAGCAGGCAGGGCGGGGGGGTGGGGTAGTGGGGGGGGGGGCGATGCCAGCGTTACAGGGTTGGCCCAACCACGAGCGGCCAGAGCCGCCCTCTGCTCTGCCTCCTCCCTCCCGTCCTCCTGCGACCTCTCGCCCGGGCTGCGGCCGAGGGGGACCGGGGCGCCCTTACCGGAGAAGATCCTTCCGTCCCGAGTGAGGATCGCGGCCCCCACGGGGAAGTGACTGTAGGGGCAGTAGGCGGACTTCTTGGCTTCCCGGCAGGAGAGCAGCAGCCGCTGGACGAGCTCGGGCTCCAGGGCACCGGCGGGACGCTCGTGGGCCATGTCTCTCCCCGGGGGCGGCGGAGGCGCAGAAGTTCGCTCTCAGCCCCGCGGGGCCAGCGAAACGTTAGCTCCTCCCCCGGGGCGTGTCCCTGTGGGGCGCTGGGCGGGGCCGGGGTCTCCAGCCACCGCCTCCTGCGCCGCCCCCCGCCCCGCTCCGCAGGCTGGGATTGGAGGGTGCCGTGTGGGGCCCAGTGTGTAAGGATGCGACTGTACCCACGTGTGCTCACCCTCTCCCCTGGGGACCACTCTCGCTGCCAACACACTGAGGGGCGAACGGTCAGGGCATGGATGCGCCTGTGTAAGGGGAGACTGCGGACACAGGCTCCTCGGGGAAGAGTCTGCTGGGCGGTGGTGGGGTGGTCAGTGTGAGGTCTGGGGAGTCCAAACTCCAAGGGTTGAAATGCACCTCAATGTGTTGACTGTCTCCTTCCCTGGGTGATGCGATGAGGCTGAAAGGGCAGAGCTGGGGCAGCCACTCTGGCTTCCTGAGGGAGGGAGTGTGAGACAAAGCAGTAAGACCAAGTTGCTTTTTTATTTTCACCCATTCTCCTGACTCCTCTCTTAACCCAGAATTTAAATGTATCTCGGCTGGAGGGAATCTCTGAGGTGGTCTACTCAGGTTTCCTCACTTTTTTTGTTGGCAAAATAAACATTGGGTTGGTGGTCAAAGAAATGGGTTTGCATACTGGCAGCACCACTTTCCACATGTACAACCACTGGCCAGTTCTTTGACCTCTCTGAGCTAGTTTCCTCATCTCTACAGTGAGGATAGTGACCATCTCTGTTCTAAGTCCTTATAGAAGAGCTTGAACTTCGGAGTTTAGTAGACCCTAGTTGGAATTCCAGTTCTTATTAGCCATGGGATTATTAGGAAATTAATAACCATCTGTCTCTGCAGCCTCAGGTTCCTCATCTGTAAAGTGGGTGCACTAACAGTATCTTGCAGAGTTGTCATGAGGCTCGAATGAGATAATGTGTGTCCAGTGAGTATGGTTAGAGGCTCCTGTGGCATCACGACAAAGCACTCTTTGTGACTTCATGCAGACGAAGTTATTGTCATTAAGTGACTGGGCCAACATCACATAAGAAAGGCAGAACACCAGATAGCGTGTCTAGAGGTGTCCAAACGTCCGCAGACCCCCAGCAAGTGGAAGTGAACCAGCAGCTTCTCCGAGGGCTTGGACGGAGGGTGGGGCAGGGGAAGGGGGGTAGGTGGAAGAGGGGGAGAAAATGAGGCAGCATGTCCATATCCTGCATGTGGACATCTTGGGCAAAACAGATGCAGCCCAGTATCTTTGTGTCCTTTAGCCTGGAGCTCTCCCACATGAAGGTATAGGCAAACACCCAGCTGGGCAAAGTCTGCCTCATTTTCCTCTCCCCTCTCCTGCCCTCCTCCCTTCAGATTCCTCCCACCCCCTTTCTACACATCCAGCCCTTAGAGAGGCAGCTGGTTCCTTCCTGCCGGCTGGTGCAATTTTCTTCCGGTTCTACACACTTGGCATTGAGAGCATTTTCTTGGATCTGAAGCAGGACTGGCAGAGATACCTGTCCTGTTTTTGTACTGCTGTAGTACCCAGCTACCCGATGACCCCTCTCCTAAGGTTCCAGGAAAGAAAACAAAGGATGTCTGGGGACCGAGTGCACCCACTCCACACGGAAATAATTGTAAAGCTTTTGGGAGCCCAGTATAATTGCAAAGGGAAGAGGGATATAGACCCTGCTGTCCTAACAGGCCTGTTGGAGTGCTCTTTCTGTCCCCTGCCCCGTCTTGACTCACATCAGCCGAGGCCAGCCCTGCCCGGGACTGGGGCTGGGCTTCTTGGCTCCATAGCATCAGGAAAACTTGGATGACCTCCAGGCAAATTATGGCATTGGCCCCTTCAAAGCTCTTTACCTGGGTCACAAGTGGGGACAGTGCCCCTTGCACACCCAGCTGAATGGGGCTTGGGACCAGCTGTCGTTCTAGATTTCCTGACAGAATGGGCTTGGAGTGGCCATCTGGAAGGGGAGAGTGGGCCTGAAAACTTGTACAGAGCTAAGTTTTAGATTAATAATATTACCAACATTTTCTAAACATGCTTTAATCTCTGTTCTACATAAAATTAAGAAAAGTTAATTGCCCAGCTCAAAGAAGAGGAATATCTAAGAGAGGTGTTTTGAGTGGCGGTGGAGATTGTCAGGGCCCAAAGCCCTCCCACCCCACCCCCAGGCCTTTCCTCTGTGAAGGAGGACCACCCAGGATCCATTAGATCAGAGTTAGAGCTCAGATAACATTAACTGACTTCTTCATTCAAAGAACAGTTACTCATAATCACAGCTAACTCTTATTAAGCTCTTCCCATGTGCCAAGCCCTGGGCTAAACACATGATTTGAATTATGTCGTGTTCTCCTCACCAAGAGGTAGATGCAGGCAAGTTTCCTGCCCATGTTTTACTGATGAAGATGAGTCAGGGACAGGCGGGGTTAGGTACGGAGGGTTACGTGATCAGGCTCAGCAAAAAAAACAGAAATAAGGGGAACAAACCAGATGACCCCACCCTGGAGATGTCATCACCAGTCCTTACTCAAACCAAGATGTCACAAGATTGTCAAGGCCACAAGGTCTTCATGTTGGCGATGGGGTCAGGATCCCTCTCACTCCTGAGAGCTTTTTCCATACCCTTGCTTCCTAAGATTCTAAGGCTCTACTCACTCTCCTTTGTCTGCAAAATTCATTCTTGAACCGTGAGACAAGAATCTCACTTTCTTGCTTCGTTTTGGTGCTGAAACCCGGGAACACTCCCACCAAAGGATGAGAAAAGTGAACTCTTTTCTTTCCTGGGAGGTGTCTTTCCCTTGGATGACCTCTTCTTTTAATAAACAACAAAACCAGGCACCTGTCAGCCAGTTAAAAGCGAATAGTGTCGCCATTGGTCTCAAGTCTCAGGGGACAGGCTTCTGGACAAAGATTTGGTCAATCCCCCTTCCATAAAAGAAGGGAATGTTGGCCTAACCCTACGCAGCTCTGCTTTCTGTTCACTGACTTTTTAAAAATGGCTTTCTCCCACCTCAGGGACTTTGCCCATAGTAAAGCCCTTCTGACCCTCGATGATCAGTACCCCCTTCTTCTTCTTCTTCTTTTTTTTAAAGATTTTATTTATTTATTTGACAGAGAGAGAGAGAGAGAGAGAGAGATCACAAGTAGGCAGAGAGGCAGGTGGGGGCGGGGGAAGTAGGCTCCCCGATGAGCAGAGAGCCTGATGCGGGGCTCAATCCCAGGACCCTGGGATCATGACCCAAGATGAAGGCAGAGGCTTAATCCATTGAGCCACCCAGGTGCCTCAAGTACCCCCTTCTAATCAGGGATTCATTTCAGGATTTAAAATCGCTTTCCATCCTCTGCAATTTCTTCTCTAAGCACCTGGGAATGTCATGGGTTCAGCCGCTCTGAAAGTGGTCTTTCCGCTGACTGTCATCTGGGGGAAGGAGGTTGCCTATGTAGATATAAGACTTTTTCATTTAAAAGTATCTTTCAGGGCGCCTGGGTGGCTCAGTGGGTTAAGCCTCTGCCTTCAGCTCAGGTCATGATCTCAGGGTCCTGGGATCAAGCCCCACATCGGGCTCCCTGCTCAGCGGGGAGCCTGCTTCCCCACCCCCTCTCTCTGTCTGCCTCTCTGCCTACTTGTGATCTCTCTCTGTCAAATAAATAAATAAAATTCTTTAAAAAAAAAAGTATTTTTCATGAGAACTTACCTTAGGAGGAATCACCTTTCCCTCATTTTTTGCTGCCTGGTAAGACAAAGGTTTTTCTGTTAGGTACAATTTAAGTGTAATCACAGAAATTAAAACCCAAATTATCAGCAAGCAGGATTAGAGCTATCTTCTTATGTGGCAAATTTCCTGGGCCTTTACTCTCCATGGAATCCTTTGGGCATTAAGGAGGGAATTTTAAACCCCCAGCCAACTCCTTGATTAGTTGCATTAGTGGCTGGGGCTTTAAGGGGTCATACGGTTGAGACTTTCTTGCGCCAACACAAGAATATGGAATAACAATGATGCTAAATGTCAGGGCCCGCCCCCCTCATCAGGCCATACTTGCAAATGGGACATCAGGTTTATGGATGAAAAAAGTGCCCAAGGAGTAAGCCAAAAAAACATAATTGAATTTGGCTTATAATTAGCCTGATTGACCAGGCACCACGAGGCTAGGGTGGCAAGTGAATTTATATGACCAAACAATGAGAGTTCAATTGAGAGAGTTCCGAAGAATGAGGCCCTTGAAAAGTATTTCCCCTACTCTGTCCAAAGTTCAGCCAGGGGGCACACATAAGGATTGGCAATCTGGCATTTTGCACCTGGCGTTTGGTCTCCATGGGTGACCCCGGGGTCTCTGAGACACATAAAAGGATGGAGATGGCCCTGAGAGGTCACACCCCAGAGCAGGTAAGGATGGCTACTCCTGCCGGCCTGGTCCTTCCTCACCCCAAGATGTTAGGCCGTCCTCTCACATTGGGTAGGCACACTAAGGGATGCCTTGGCTTATGAGAGAGAGAGGACAGACACCTTTGTAGTCACCTCTCTGTAACAGGTACTAGGCAACTGACTCCCACCGGGATCGCGAGATGGGAAGCACCCCATCCTCCACGGGAACTCCTTTGGAATGCATCCTGAAAAACGGGAGAAGTTTGGAGCACCTGGGTGGCTCAGTCAGTTGGGCATCTGCCTTCGGCTTGGGTCATGGTCCCAGGGTCCTGGTATCGGGCCCCACATAGGGCTCCCTGCTCATTGGGGGGCCTGTTTCTCCCTCTTCCACTCTCCCTGCTTCTGTTCCCTCTCTCGCTGTGTCTCTGTGTCAAATAAATAAAATCTTGAAAACAAAAACAAAAACGGGGAGAAGTATGATCCACAGATACCTAAAAGGAAATGTATGAAGTTTTTCTGTTCTTAGGCCTGGCCTCAATGTCACCTGGAGGATGGTGAAATTTGGCCCCCAGAGGGCGAGTATTAAATATAATATTACCTTACAATTAGATCTCTATTGGAGCACCTGGGTGGCTCATCGGGT